ATATATATATATATATATATATATACCTAAGAGATGCTTCATTCATTCGTTGCAAACCTATAGGACAGGATTAAACTGCCCACCTTGCAGTTGGCAGCCCAGCCCATAACCACTATGCCACTAGAGCTCCCCAGAAGAGATAATTAGACATAGAGAAATCTATCACTGAAGTCAGAGGAGAACACAGCCAAAAACCAACATGTTATTTTTATGATGCATATCTTTGCAATCATTGATGTGATTTGGATATTATTATTAATCCCTGACTAAATTTTAATTATTTGAGCAATATACATGAAATGCATCATTTAATCGAGAATAATAAGATTTGTGAAGCTTATTCAAGAGCTAAATGAAATATTGTAGAGGAAACCATTTGTTCAATGCAAGAAATCACAGATTATATTAGGTACTGGTTTTAATTGGCTTTATATTGTACTTTTATCCTCATGATTGTACCCCCTTAGGATTTCAAAATTACTTTGAAATACCTTTCAACTCTAATTATATTCGGACCAAATATTTTCAGACACTTACTTAAGGGGGTAGGTCAAAGAGTGTTACTCCTATGACTCCAGTTGATAGCCGCCCCCCACACACAGACACAGGGTTTTTCCCAGCAGCCTGTTCAATCAGGTGCTTTAACAAAAAAAGTCCAGTCAAACAGTGGCTTCTGAGGGGAGCTGCTGGGTGAGTTGCCTGGAAGGCAGAGAGGTCAGTTCAGGAGGTGATGGTGACTATTATTTTAGAATTCTCAAGGGGTCATCTTGCTTGATCTTCTCGAAGGACAAAGATGATCACGTGGGAAACTGTTGGGAGGGAAAAGGCCCGGGCAACTGCAGAGGGCTCTTGCTTTCAATAGCGGAATGCACCTGCTGGCTCTGATCCTATGAGAATTGTAGTGGGAGATATTTCCACATCGACCCACAGCCCTGCCCTCTCCCTTCCCACTACGTTGGTTCCCCAAACTCGAAGGACAATTTAAAGGAATCAGTGAGGGTCCCTCAAGGATACCCCAACTGCACAGAATTCTGCAGGGTTACTAAAAGTATGAGTACTCCCTGCCACCAGTCAGTGCTGACTCAGCCACCCTAGCAACAGAGCACAACTGTCCCCATGTTTTTTCCTGAAGCCGCAAATCTTTACAGGGCAGGGAGCCTCACCTTTCTTCCTTTGCAGCAGCTGGTGAGTTCAAACTGCTGACTCTGTGGTTAGCAGTTCGATGTTTAACCTACTGTGACACCTGGCACCTTAAGGAAGGATTGCAGAGATGTAAACATCACCTGCAGAAGTGTACTGACCTAGACGAGGGTAGAGTGGGACATGATCACTTGGCATTTTTATATTTTAGTGTCTTAAATGTCACTATGATTTTGTAGCGGGACATTTCAATGTGCCCCAGGCATGCCTCCTCAGGGTCTCCCCGGAATCTGTTAGATGTTGTCTGATAAGTCCCATAGTTGTGAGGACAAGGGTTAGTGCTTTTACCTTCTGTCTTGTTGGTGCGTCCTTGTTGTTTCCTTACAACCCTTTCCAAGGTATTTGTTTTGCTTACCTACATAATCAGTTCTCAAGAACACGAACTTCCAAATGAATTCAGCTTTCCAACCATCCTCCAGGTTTTCAGTTTGCAGGTCTGCCTTAGAGGCGCTGAAAAAACGGAGCCACCAGTAATGTGCTGCTTCTCCTCTGTAGACTCTGGGAGGAGAAATCAATGTCAGATCACAGGAACTAGAGGACTTAAAGATCCACCAAGTTCACTCCCCAAGCATACTCCACAGTAGGGTGTGCCTCTCCTCCGTAACTCAGAGGTGTGTGTCCAACCGAGACCATAAAAACCCTGGTATAGCTAGTCACCCCAATATACACACGTTCTGTGGAAGAAACAAAGATTCAGGAACATAGGCCATTTGCTCCCAGCACTCCGTAACGAAAAGTTAAGTCAGAGTGTATCTAGTGCTCCTATTCTGGACCACCTCTTTCTACTTCACCAAGTCAGGTAACTATGTGGATTTCCATCTGGCTTGCTGAAAAAACAAAAACGCCTGTACCTTACAGAGGAGTCCGTTTCTACTGTGTCAGAATTGTCTCTCTTCCTCACCCTTTTTTTCAGAGGGAATGTTTTTAGAGGTTATCCGTCCCAGGGGAGACCCAGGACTCGTTGGGTGTTGGTACCGTTCCTGCTCCTCCTTTGATGGCCTGGATCTCGGGTGGCTTTGTGCTTGCTGGCTTCCCCCGGGGCAATAGTTGCAGAAAGCCAGGAGCTTCTCCCGTGGTTTACCCGTGAAAGTGCTCTGGGCGTCCCTCTCCAGCTGTTCGCTCTCATCTTTCATCCTCAAATTTTGAGGAGAAAAAAAATGCCAGATAACCCAAATCCCATTCTTTGTTCTCTTGAAACCTGTTGGAAACGGTTTTAAAAGTCAAGAGCAAGAAGTGTTGGTTTACAATAAAACTGATGTCAAAGACATAAGCTATGTGAACACTGAAAACCAACCACTGGACAGTTACAGACTTCAATGTAGTTTTGCAAATAGCTATTTTAAAAAAAAATGAAATTAGCCAAGATGATAAAGCCTTGGCTCCCGTTTAGAGGAACATTATGCTTTCATCACAGTTACACGGACAATGTAGCACACCTCCTGACGTGAGAGTGGTTACAGACAGAGGTAGATTTTAGGATAACAGAAGTTTTGCTATGAGTTCTGGTGTTCCCTCTCAGAGAGGAGCTGTTGACATTTTGGGATGAAGAGACTATTGTCCACAGCTCCATCCTGTTGCCGAGGAAGCACGATTTTCTTTTCTTTTCTTCCCTAATGGCGCTGCAGTAACAGATGCACTGCCTGTGGGAGATAATAAACCTGTTTGTGGTGGGTTTGTAGCACGGCTCTATTTGGCTTAGGCTTTTGGGCTCTTTCAGATTCTCTGAGGATGATCAATCCGGGCTCTAGGCGACAACCTGTCGTGCTTTCATCAGTTGGGCGACAAGTCACGGTGCACCTTAGTCTCATGTGCTTGTTCCAGAATTTGGTTCATTTTCAAACTGTCTTTTCACTACAGAGTCATAACTAGATCAAGGCCCATGTGTGTAATATTTGGATACTTACCGACCATTGGGCCTTTGCGTTGTAAGCATCTCATGCTGCGTGTCTGTGACCCCAGCAGGCCTTTGAGCCCGCCCTTTGCCAGACCGCACTCCATGTGCGCTGGGTAGAGACCCTCGTATGTCTTATTCAAGGATGAGCGAGGGGAAGTGCTGACCATCCTAACGCAGTGTTTGTAGCTCTGATAAATGAGGGCTTTCTGACCTCTGTGTGCAGCTTGAGATGGTCATTCTAATGTCAACTCCTTTCAAGCGCACCAGAGCATCTCCACTCACAGCCCTGGCCCTTGGACTGTAGTCGCTAAGAACCCCACTTGCTTCGACAGGTAGGTGGACAATAGTCCTGCATTCTTGCTGTATTATGCTGAATAGCATTGGGTCTCCCCAGGGCAACCTCTTCTGCTTAGAAACAAAATGAGCCAACCAGTTTCATTTGGAGCAATGCCCACTCTTAAGGGAGGAATCACTCTGGACATAATTCTTAGAGTGAAACACTGAAGGTCGGTTGCGGACATTGATATTTGTATTTGCTCGCACGCATGTGTGTGTTCCAATTCATGTTAGGATGCTGGTATCTCATGGTGAGCTTTTATCCTTGTATTTATTTCACCTCTTATGATTGCATCTCTAAAATGACCCAGTATTCAGCACACTGCTATCACATCTCTTAAAATGATTCCCAAATCTCTGCTTCTCTGTGCCCTGCACTTGGATGCTCTCCATCCTTGGAGTCTGAGAGAGCATGCAGCTTGGTGGCAAAGGTGTGGGAAGGCTGTCAGCCCTCCACTCTGCAGGGAAAGCCAGGGTGTCCCTTTCCAAATTGACTACTATCTGCCCAGGACTTCACTTTAGTTTGGAAACAAAGGTGCCTTCATTTTCCTCACTCTATTGAACACTGATCGATAGCCTTTACTTCAGATGTATACTGTAAGAACCAGGATGAGAACTTCACAAATACAGTTGACACGTCTCACCCACACCAAAGGCATCAGAGTCCCTGAGCTTGGCTTTCTGTATCGCAGAGCTTCCCAAGTATATAGAGGGTAGACAGACAGACTTGAGGGCCCCCGGGCTAGCTAGGAGAAGTTGACAACTCACCCATTAATGTTGAGCTGGTTGCTAATAAAGAATAGTTGTCCCATGTCCTGTGCGGCTCTTGTGACCCAGAAGCGTGGCTTCACATTGTCTTCTGTCCGTGTCTGCTGTCGTTCATGTCTCGTCTGCTCATCCCTTCTTCTCCTCTGCGTACTTCCCCCTAAAAACACATAGCACAAGCCTCTCAGCACATCGCACGTCTCGTTGGGAGAGGAGACAATCGGGGTACTTATGTTCATGCTTTCTCCCCCCAGGTTGTGTGGAGGAAACTTGGAGATGCTGCAGGTTCGTGTCCTGGAATTAGGCAACATTTGTCAGGAAACCAGTACAAAGGGCCCACGTGAGGTGCGTTCTCCTGGATGCGAGATCACCGCTGCCTGAGAGAGAGAGACCAGGAAGGAGAAAGAGTGGGTTCTCACAACCTGGACTCACGGAATGACATGGGGTGATTGTACGCAGCACCCACTTCCCCTCTAACAGACCCTGTAGCAAACTTGTCCATTTAGCTGCCCTTTCACGTCTCTCACAAGAGCTTAGGTTGCGAGTCACCATTTTCTCAGCAATGTGTTCCTTAGGACTAGGAAGATTCTGACGCCCCAGCTCTCGGGTTGTATTTGGGAATCCTGCCTGGTGGGGAGAGTTCAAGACAAAACAACGGGGATAGATTTCCCTCATTGCATATGATGGTGGAAGTTTTCTACCATATGTATTGAGGGTGATGTGGAGAGATTTCTTCCAGTTTCCCAAGTTTCAGTTGGACACCTATATTTTACACTTTCATCAACAATATAGTATTTCCTGAGATATAATTAGCTTGATACAAGATTAGAATGGGGTTCTAGGTTTTTGTATTGTTTTGACGTTTTGAGGTGCTAAAAATGCAACCTACCGTCCCCTTACCAGCTAGAAGTGTAATCAGAGAGTACCACTGATTTCAATTGATCAAAATAAATATGCCTTTTCTTTTAGTTTTGATGAATATGATCATAAAGATGTATCTTGAGGGCATATCAACCTCAAGATTTAGTCAATGGATCCACTGGTGTTAATCTTAACGATTTCAACTGAAATATAAGCAAATATAATTTTTCTAAATGTTTCCAGCTGTGAGATGTCGATTTCTACAACTTAGTTTCTAGATATGCTATTATCTATTTAATAAACTTTATGTAAACTTTAAAAATATTGCACTGCATTTATGGGGGACAGCAGCTTTTTTTTTGCCTACTGCAGGCAGCTGACATCTGAGGGAACTGACGTATGCCCTCAGTATTGAGGCTAAACGCTCTTTTTCAGATCGCCTGAGGTTTGGAAAAAGAGGTGTGCTAGCTTTGCTTAGCTTATCCCTTATTTTTGGTATCCATACATATATGTAATAATAGACTGTGTGTATTGGAAGTGCTATGATAGTTTGTGTTTATCCAAATGCAATGATAGTTTCTTGTATGAATGTGCAAGAGGCCTGCGGCAGAATGCTATTGAGTTTCCACTGTAGTTTAAGATTATACAAGTAGGAATGCAACAATTCTCAGTTCTCCTATTGCTTCTCAATTAATCAGATCCATAGCATATATTCTCTGTTGTTGTTGCTTTTAAAAATGGACATATTACAAAGCATATTAACTATCGTTGGTGAAGGAATGTTACGGACTTTTCCTATACTTTAGTAACATGTTACCGTGATGACAAACCAGCCCTCTGTTCTCTGAAAATATGTATGAATTAATTTCCTATAGAATCATCTATCTATCGTAATTGGGTTGCCATTTACGTGAATCTTTCTTTTGAAATATTACAATTTTTAAATGTTATTACTCTGCACAAGAAAATTGCTTGCTATATTTACAGTCTCTTCCAGCAAAACTTCCTCCTTCCATTGTTGTATTCCTATGCTCAGAAGACATTTCAGACGAGATGTGGTGCCCGCAGCAGAGCCTGCAGAAGCCAATCCAAGGGACTCTGGTCTTTTGACAAAATACTTGTGTAAGTTTTGATACTGTATTAAAACTATTTTTTTAAAGTTCTGCATAAAATTGAGTATCAAGTATATGTGTTCATCTTAGCGATGGTAATAAATTATTTAATCTCACAGTGCTTCTCTCTTCCCTTCTTCAAAACGTCATTCCTCACTTGCGTAGATCTCTAATGGACACTGGATATCACAGTGCTCCTGGGCGATGGGGCCAATGACGGGCACTCAGGTCATTTCAGGTTTGAAATGAAAAACAAAGGCATCTTTTCAAACGTGAAGCCTGGTGGCACAATGGTTAAAGCACATGGCTTGGTTGCTAACTGAAAGGTCAGAGGTTCCAACCCACCAGTTGCTCTGAGAGAAAAAGACCTTTCAAAAAATCTTCCAAAGAAGACCACCTGGGAAAGTCTGTGGGATGGTTCTCCTTTGTCCTATAAGATCAGTGGGCCAAGGTCAACTTGACAGCACACAACAACAACAACAATACATCACATAAAAATGAAGCAAAACAAAGCTCATTCTCATTGAGCCTGTTCCAGCTCTGGGGCTACCCTATAGAAGACTTCTCAGACTGGAAGTCTTGCCAGAGCAGGCAGCCTCATCTTTTCCCCACAAAGTGACTGGTGGGTTTGAACTGGCACGCTGCAGGTCCACAGCCCAACTTGTGACCCACCCTGCCATATTATTATAAGAGCCATCAGAAGGAAAGTTAATCATGCTACAGGAATGACAAACCTGGCCCCTGTATTTAGGAAGTTTTCACATTCTTGGGGAATACAGACTCGAGGCTCAGACACAGACACTGATGGGAACCACGTGCGTCCATGCGGAAACACCCAGTGAACAGACACTTCTCAGGAACAAGTGAGTGCAACGCGGCTTCCTGTACCACAGAGGACAGAGCAGACAGAGCCCAGAGCCGAATCCTGTTGCTGCGCATACATTTATCGATCACAAGGAGTGGCCTCATTCTCTCAGGTGACCAGCTCAATAGTTTCTGATCACATTTTCCCTGGGACAAGGGTTACTTCACATATTTTAGCAGATTATTTTTAACAGCCTATGCTTTTTAATTGAATGCCTTTTGACGTTTGAGCTCATGCTTAAAGTGTAGGGAAAACACAGCTCCACTTCCGCGGCATCCTGCGAAAGGCCACAGTCTCGTCCATTGCTTAATCTGATGACTCTTATTGCATCAATGGCCACTAACTGACAACCGAGGCCATTCTGACCCCACCCTTTAGGACAGAGTGGAACTGCTCCCGTGGGCTTCTGATGATCTACCTCCTTAAAAGGGCAGAAAACCTCGACTTTCTTCCATGGAACATCTGGTGGATTTGATCCACCGACCTGGTGGTTGGCAGAAAAACACATCACCCCCTGTGCCACCAAGCTCCTTTGAACAACAACAACCACTCCCATGTAAGGGAACGGCTTGCGATTCCCTGACTTGGGTTTAATCTCAAGACACGTGTGGAGCAGTAGTATGTGAACTGTCAGGTGGAATTCATCTGACATGGAGACGACTGGCCACCTGGTCCAATTTTACCACCTGAGGACACGGTCATCCTCCTAGTAACTTGCACTGGGAGCTAGTGTTTATGCTTGTGGTTTGCATTCCTATCGCCTCGACCTGACATCCTTTCCTGGAAAGGATATGCCTGTCTCAGGCTGGCTTATCAACAGCAAGGCCCAGTAGGTGCAAATCACCTGTATGAGGGATTTATATACTGGTTTCTAGAGGAGAACAAATTCTCCCTCCTATTACGCAATGAAAGGACACTGCATCAGGTAAAAGGATCCCTGGTGTTGGGTGGTCGATTCCACCTATCATAGTGTATGTGCTCACGAAGCTGTTCTGGGTCTCGGGCTGCTAACCACATGGTCAGTGGTTCAAACCCATCAGATGATAAAGATGAGGTTATATGTTCCTTTAAATATGTAATGTCCCCCCAAGCCCTGTATAGGGTTGCTGTGATTGGGAAAGGGCTTGATGGCAGTGGGTCGCAGTCTGTTTGATGGAACCATATACATGTCCAAGCGAACCATATATTTTAGCGAGTCAGACTTTGCATCATCGACTTTAGCATTTCCCCCCTATGTTTAATCAGGTGCGTTCTAGCCTAGTCTCACCGAACCTCAAGTTCCCCACATACAAAGTAGAGGTAATACCTATCCAGCGCTATTGTTGAGAGGATCCCTATTTCCTCTCGAATACCAAGTCCAAAACTCAGCTCCCTTGAGCCTGCGAGGATTAATGCCATAGGAGCCTAAACCAGTGGGGGCTGCTTCAGCTTATACCAGGGTACGGAGGGGAAGGCTGCCAGCAGGCCCACAGGGTTGTGCTCAAGTCCTGGCGTAAAGGTAGGTGGTTGTACCCCCCGGAGGTACTGTGGAGGAAAGCCAGCGCAGCCGCGTCTACAGGACAGAGCAGTTCTGCTCGGTGACATGTGGCCCCATCAGGAGGCCAACTATGGGCAATAACCACAACTACATGAGAAGAGAGATGGCAGCAATGAGAGACTGTCTACAACCGCAGCAAGCCGACTCTGGGCATCGCCTTTACACAGCTTCGTTAGACATTGTTCAGCCCGTGGGCACCAGAGATGGTGATTCTGAGAATGGGGAGGAAAAGACCACCACCCGATGCTCACATAGGGATAGTATGTTTTACACAAAAATCTTCCACAAAGTTTTAATTCCGTATTTGGGGGACGGGGGCTTTTAATGCCACTGAGAATTGTTGCCAATAAAGACTTGAATTTCAAAATGTCAAACTGAGTACGAGTTCTGGCATCCTCCTCTTGCCTGAAACCCTAAATACGACTGAAAGAATGTTTTTAACAAAAATACCCATATTCCCCTTATGTCATAAAAACTGCTGTGTTTCATAGATTGGCGATAACGCCTGTGGGGTGGGGCTGGGGGTAGGTACAACCTATCCTTTTAGCATCTTTCTGGCTCAGCAGCATGTCATGATGCTTCCACAAACAAGCTGTAAAATAAACAGACCGACCTGATTGTTTGTTGCCCATAACTAAAACAATGCAGAGTTTGTTGGGGGAAACAAAAAAAGGAGGGATGCCTGTAATTGTGCCCCAAACAAGGAAGACTGATATTTTAACTCATTATGCATTGGGCTGCTAACCACAAGGTCAGCAGTTTGAAATGACCTGCCACTCTGGCTGAGCAAGACGGGGCTTTCTACTCGCATTAAGAATTTAAGACTGGAGAGACTGGGGAAGATGGCCGCCTGCTAGGTAGCTCACACCCGGAGCTCCAAGGAGATGGTCAGTGGGGAGAGTTGGGGGCGGAGTAGGGGTACTAAATTTGTCTGTTCAATTCCTAAGACCACTCAGAGCATCTCTCGGACCCAGAGGTGGACCCCACCCATAGCCAGGGCTCTGCGCAGACACCCGTGGTCTCAGGTGAGGCGCTCCACACACCCGTTCTACTGGGACATGTGCCACAAGGTGCCTAGGTGCACGGCAGAGAGCCCGCGCGCCTTGGCGCTCCACGCAAAATCGCCACTCAAGAGCCCCCACCCGGGGGCTCCCAAAGAGAGCTCAAGGTTCTGAGACACCCAGGAAAATGGCACCAAGTGCCCACAAATC